GATAAAAACAACAAATTTTTTGTATATATAACATAATATTTGATTTGAAATAAAATAATTTTAATGCTGCATGAAAATATCGAAGTTACTATTTAAAATTTACTTGTTTAAAACTTTGTTATGTGACAAAAAAAACTTTGTTATGTACATATATTTGACCATTAGATAAATCATGTTATCTAAATAACCGACTACGAATTTAAAAATAAAATAATCAATCATTTTCTTATTTATCTTTATAGTACAATTTATCAATCATAGGTGGTTTCCATATGTCTTTACAATGTTTCTCTGTTATTCTCTTATACTTCGCACTTCACAATGTCTTTCGTATTGTGGCATATGGAAGATACTCAACAACGTCTTGTTTGCTTGTTGTTTACAGTTTTTTTCAATCGAAGAATGAGAAAACTTATCTCTTCATCAGTAAAGTGTAAGTTTTCTTCTTCAAATTTGATTTAAATTTTTGCTAGTTAGAGTTTTGAAAGAATTTGTAGATCTTTTTGAAATGGCTTTTTGATGGATATAAATAGTTTAATGCATTTTTTTTCATTTCACTTCGTCTCATAAGCTTTGATTTTTGTTCATCGTAGAAAATAATTAAGATTTAAGGATACTATTTCTTAAATGTTGATATTCCTAATGTGTGCTTGAATATAATTTGTTTTTTTAATTGAACTACAAACTTTTTAATAAGAAAAAAACCTTTCATATTTCATAGGATATATAACTTTTAAAAATAATATAGAAAATATTTGTTTTTTTTTTTAACATTTTACTACGTCAATTGATTTTTACTAATTGTTTCAATTATAAAATTCATAAACACATTTTTTAGTTTTCTTTATATGTCTAATATATATTTTTGGTAAAACAAATTCATATTATCATTACTAATAAAATCATGTATAGTTTTGTATTTATTAATTTTTATTTTCATTATTTTTATTTAGTCTTTCACGTTTTTAATCCTTTTTATTATTTATAAAAAACAATAAATATAATTTAG